ATGATAGACATGGGAGTACAAAAAAGCCAGCAAAAGGTATGATAATGTGTTAATTATGATGCTCAAGTATTTATTGGATAATGTGATGATGATTGTAGGGATATGAATAATCAATCATTAAAACTTATATGTGTGAACCATAATTTAATCATAAAGAAAAAGGATCAGATGGAAAGAACAAATGAAGATATCTTCATAAAGGAAAAAAAAATATATCACATGAAAAGAATATTTAATCTTTTTACTTCGTATTTCAGCATTCCCATTCTTTGAAAGCATAAGATTTCTCTAATAAATACATTTAGAAATTGAATAAGGAAAAGTTTTATCATCCTTTCCTTCATTTCTTTAAGATATACTTTGGTTTAAATGCTTACTTGTATTTAATTATTTAAAATAGAATAAAGAAATTTAATTTATGATAGAGTTGTTCATGCTGTATTTGATAATGAGGATTTTACCAATCTAGTATGTAGGATTTAATGTTATCTCAAACAAAAGTACCTTAAAATAAATCTTGCAAAATAGTCATATTTCACCAATTGATTTGTTGTTACCCTCCTCGATGTAGCTCATTTCTCTTTATTGACAAGGATGTTGCAACCACACTATTCACAAGCTTGAAAGCATCGATGTTCAATGGAGATGTTCTAATGTATATGTTAGGGTTAGATTCAATCAAATGGGAGGAAACCCTGATATGATGAAAAGGATGAACAAAAGGGAGTATAGAAGAGGAGGGTGATGTTGGTTTAGTGGGGGAGTGGGGGGGGGGGGGCTCAAACTGGTTCCATTATACCAACAAGGAGAAGATAATCAGGGAGAGGAGAAAAATGGTTTGATTGTAACCTGAGCAAGGGCCTAAAACCCATTCGATTGGAGGTTTTGACTGTTGAAATGAGAAGGAAATGAAGTGAAAAATGAGAGAAAAAAAACTTGGTTGGAGACTTGTGTAAGCTCAAGATATAGCGAATGCAGAGAGAAAAGGATGGGGGAGGATGTAGTTGATGTAACCATTTTTGGTCACGTACCATTTTTTGTGATGTATAAATTTTTTGGCTAATTACCTCGTTGTTTGACCCGGTGGTGACGTGCCTTGGTGATGAGCTACTTGGTGGCGAACTCCCTGGGGGAGAACTGCTTGGTGGCGAACTACCCAATGGCGAGCTCCCTGGTGAAGAGCTACTTGGTGACGAACTGCCAGGTGGTGAACTGCCTGGTGGCGAACTACCTGGTGGTGCTCCCTGGTGGCGAACTGCCTGGGGGCGAACTGCCTGGTGGCGAACTCCCTGGTGGCGAACTGCCTGGGGGCGAACTACCTGGTGGCGAACTCCCTGGTGGCGAACTGCCTGGTGGTGAACTGCCTGGTGGCAAACTGCCTGGTGACGAACTGCCTGGTGGTGAACTCCCTGGTGGCGAACTGCCTGATGGCGAACTGCCTGATGGCAAACTGCCTGATGGCGAACTGCCTGGTGGCGAGCTGCCTGGTGGCGAACTGCCTGGTGGCGAACTGCCTGGTGGCAAACTGCCTGGGGGCGAACTGCCTGGTGGCGAACTCCCTGGTGGCGAACTGCCTAGTGGCGAGCTGCCTGGTGGCGAGCTGCCTGGTGGCGAACTGCCTGGTGGCAAACTGCCTAATGGCGAACTCGTCACTTGACTTGTTCCTAGGCGGTCTGCAACTCAGAGGATGGTGGAGCTCCCTGGTGCAGCGCAACCCGACTACCCTCCG